AAGTTACCCGACAGTTGGCCAAACAGACATGCCGAATCTCATACGTGCTATTATAGTGCTATAGTGTACGGTAAGTAGGCAGGCCGGCTAACTTGTGCTTGCCTTTCAGTGGAAGACTCCTTTTTTAAATTTTATTGATAGGCGGCGGAGGCGGTGGTTTGTGGATTGGTTTAATGTTAAAATGATCCCTTATTTTTTCTTAGAACCACGTGTGCGAAGCGGGGAAACAGCTAATATTCTTATAAAATACAGTTTGATTTCATAAACAAATTTACCACAACATTTAAATCAATTGATTCTTAAGAAGACTTGTTTTTAAAGCCAAATAATTGCTTTAAAAGAAAATTATCGTCTATTTTGACTGATACGGTCAGCCATTTTGAGTCGGCCATCTTGTTTTCGGAAACTTCGTTGTAAAATTTAAATTTTTCAACTTAAAAAACCCACAGGCACTCATTTTTGTCAAATTATTGTCAATTTTAACGAATTCAGTCGGCCATTTATAATCAGTAATTTTGTTTTTCTAAATTTTAACCTAAAACTCCGATTCCTTGACTCCAAAAATCTACCAATTATCAAGAATTTTCGGTCACATTTTACTTTTTACACTGTGCTTTGGAACAAACCAGAAAAATAATGACTTGAACTGCGACAAGACTTAATACCCAGAGACTGAAATCTGGAAACATCGTAGCTTAACTTATTATTATTATTATTAGTTACGATGTTGCCAGATTTCTTTTTAGTCTCTGGTCAATTCAGCCTTGGATAATTTCGGTCAAAACGCTTTAATTTCGATACCACTCAAAGTGATATAGGTACTATGCTCCACTAGGGTGTCCGTTATTTACCAACTTGGTTTTTTTGTTCGCAGCGCCCCCAAAATTTTTAGTTTATGACCTAAACAAAATTATAAAAAAAATTATAACAAAAAATATAATAACTTTTAAACCAGTGAATTTATCGAAAAATAATAGGAGAGCTTTTTTGTACAGGGTTCAATTTCCTATAAAAATATGTGTCTATTATTGCTGTATATTAACTTGCTCGGGAGAAAAAAAATGTAAAACTTGCCGAAACCCCATGTTAAATGTAAAATGTATCGTCTTTGTGGCACGGTTTAATATGAATATTTTTTTTATATATTTTTTTTTAATTTTGTTTAGGTCATACTAAAAATTTAGGGTGCGCTGCAAACAAATAAAACCAAATTGGTAAATAACGGACACCCTAATGCTCCACACCTCAGTCTCACCACGTGACTATGTACGGAACGCAGTCTTTTAAAAATTTGGCATTTAAGTCATTTTAGGTTATCTATTTGTCAAAGTATAGTCAACAAAAGAAATTATAAAATTATATAAATATATTTGCGTTTACCGCTTAAGTTTAAGTGTTAAAAATGAATAAATCTTTATCTATTGCATATTGATTTTTCTAGACTTTTCTGGCAATAAATTTTGTTTGAAAGAAAATTCCTTTTTTTCTTCTTTAACATTAACAGCCGCTTATTGTAAATAAGTAAATTAAGGACGCCATGGCGAATCGATTTTGACATTAAACCTTCAAACCAATGACTGTGATACCAACTATCTAAAGTAAAATTTGACCAAATTAAATATAAGGTATAAAATTATTTTTTTTATAGAATTTTTTGCAAAATAGATAAAATAGCCTAAAGAACTCATGTCATAAGACCTTTTGTCGCACTCGTCCATTACATTATAAATTGTCCTAATGCGATAAAATGAAGTCTATTATGGTATTACAATCACAATGGTTGGTTTAAGAATTTAGGAAAATAAATACTGCACTTAATGAAAGTGTATTTTGCCATACCTTTGTGCATTTGGTATACATATCCGTTTTTTTTCATAAGAAAAGGTTTAACTTAAGTGTCTACCCCGGCATTGTTTTTTAAATTTTATGTCGCCGCCTATGGTGTACTCTAGTTCCTTGACAGTTAACATTCTGGTACATACAATCTTGTTCCGTTAATAAAGCCGGATTTATAGTTCTAAAAAGTAGGAGTAGCAGTAGCAGTAAGCCAGTGTTACCAATATAATAATAAAATAAAATGTCTTCATAAATGTCTGCAATGTGATTGGCTGGAGTAGGAGTAGCAGCAAGAAAAGTTAAAACTTGTCCATCTCTTACGTCAACGACCTTGGTTGCTACTGAACGCTACTCCAGTCATTCACATTGCAGCATTTATATTATTATATTGGCAACACTGGCTTACTGCTACTCCTACTTTTTAGAACTATAAATCCGGCTTAAGCGTTTCGCCGTCCCATTTTAGGTTATATTGTTGGCATGTGTTGGTTGTTCTTTCTTGTTCCATTACGGAGTTGAACTTTTGTATTTTAACGATTACATACATAAAGATATGGACAAGTATAAGTGCAAAAAATGTTCAAAGATATACATCAAACTTAAGACTCCAAGGGAAGTTCTTTTTTTCGTGTGGAATTGCTTATGTAGAATATTTTAATTGTTTTTAAAAGGCATATTAAGCAGTCATCCCATATACCTATATGGTATCTGAGTCATCCTAAAGAAATTGAAGAGGTTAATCCACTACCCAAAAAAAAGTTTACACAGTAATAATCCAAAAAAACTTTAATTAATACTAAATTTGAAACCCAATTTACAAATTATAATTATAGTTTTTTTTATTTTTCTCTTGACACACTATTATAAATTAAACTAAATTTTGAGTTTTAAAACCCCGGTAACTTTGTTGATATTTATTTAAAAAATGTTTTGTTTTGATGTTTAAAAAAAACTACAATATAGGTAATTTTAACGAAGTCAATGCTTATTTATTATTTGATTACTACTTAGGTAGCTACTAAAGTGGCCCAGAAGGAAACGATTCATCTTGGCAACTTAACTTAATTTAACTTATAAAATGTCAAAAAATTGTCTTATACGGTATAAGTTATACCTATTATTCAATTAATAATTCAATTAATAATTTTCTAAAGAAAAAAAGATTTTTGTCATTTCTTATATGTTGCTCGGTCCCCAAAAAGTGACCCCCATTGTTAAAAATTGTCGGTTATGTTTTAAAATATATTGCCTTTGAAATTGTGTATAGGTACACATATATGAAAAAAGCTTTGCAGCGGTTTCCATAGCATATTTACAAATCCAATTTCAACTTCTTCAACTATATTCTTGTTTATTTATTTGCCATCAATCATGAATCCGAAAATTGTCACACCATCAAATACAAAAATGTTTTCATTTGTTGAACTGGTTAACATGTCACATGGAGACCCTGTTCAAACCGATAGATTTTTGTATCGGATTGTATGGTGTTTCTATAGGGTGTATCGGTATGTATAGGACCATAGTTGGGATTTATGGTTGTTCTATAGGGATATCCTTCCTTGATTTATTTGCTATCGGTCTCAATAGGGAAAATACACATAAAGGTAGAAATTAGTTTTTCTCCCATAGGACCCCATAGGTTTAAAAAAAATGTTGTCAAATGTTTTATGGTTGGTCTATAGGGATATCCCTATATATCCTTCCTTGATCGGTCTCAATAGGGGAAATGTAAAATTTATGGTGTGTCTATACTCTATAGGTAATTTCCTATAAATTTTCTATCGGGCCGTATACGAAAAAAAACATGGACAAATGCATATATTGAGTCCGTTAGCGCCCGATAGATTATTTTTATGGGTCTCTATGGGGTATTTTAAGCAGGGTTTGGGATTCTTAAAGGTGGTGTTTTTTAATTGACGTTTAACTCATTTAACACTGAAAAAGTTAAAAACAAACCTTAAAGACGTGTTGTATCAACGTAAAAGGCAGTGCCTTTATGGCCGTGACGCTAAAGGACAACATAACCATAGTACAAGTTTTCTTGTACCATAAAAATAACCATATAAAATCGCTGTGACTAGAGGCACGCTAACGTGCCGCGATTCGAAATGTTAAAGTCACGTTAGTTACGTCATAATTATTTAACGTCATAATTTTAAAATTGTGTGTTACGATAAAACTAAAACAAACCAACTAAACCAACCAACCCAACACTTTTTAACAAACGAACAACATAGCAGGTTTTATGTTACGATAGAACTAAAACAAACCAACCAACCCAACCCAACACTTTTTAACAAAGAAACAACAAATTTATGAAATAAAAAAATAAAAAAGTTCGACAACTTCTGAGTATCGAACCCGGTACCTCTCGCATGCTAAGCGACCAAATCCAATCCAAATCCAAAAATAGTTTATTTCCTATTAGTCACAAGCTAAAAAAGAGTACGAAGTACAGGTTTTTGCCAAAGATGGCTAATTACATTTCATTTACTACAAAGTAAGAAAATGTAGTAATTCTTCAGGCCAGTGGTGTTGTCCAGGCGTCGAGACGTCCAGGAAGCAGGCACCTACCGTGTCGATGGAGTGACGAAGAAGCCAGTATTCGACTCAAAAATTGTTGATGAAACGGCTCGTTTTACTCGTAGAACAATTTTAACGGCGTTGTTATTTTGCTGTTTTTGTAGATTGGTTGCAGGCCCTTCGTGACTTTGGTTGCTGAATTTTTGGGTTGTTTGTTACAGGAAAAATAAGCAAAACCCTGTTTGAATAATGTATTGTATTTTGTTTGTTTTTAGTGACCCTGTATGTTGATTAAGTCAGATTTTGATTTTATAAAATATTAAAAATTAGGAGCGCATAGGTTGCAGGATGTACCGAGCGCGAGTCGTGTTTCGACACTATCGGAATGAGTGACGTTTGTACGTTATCTTCGCCCACTCTCTGCAGCGTACGAATCCCGGCCGCATTTTTCCGTCTCCTATATGGCTAGCGCAACCGAGTGCGCTAATCGTGTAGGATACGGAAGCGAGACCTGTATCTCCGTTCCCTAAGTGGTTAACGCACCGCATACGAATAAGCACTCTGCAATGAGCTTTTTAGGTGATCTTTCTTTGTATGTACATATAAAATAATAATAATAATAATAAAATAAAATAACAAAAAAACAAAATAATAAAATAATAAATGCCTTATTGTTAAAACGTTTTACTAAATGTTTTATTAAGTCGGTAGGTATAAAAAAGTAATGCTATTCAGGTAAGTAGGTTGATAAGTACCTCATCATAAGTAACAATAAGGAGATAAGCAAAAAAATAGACTGGGAGAATAATATAAAAAAATACAGATTAATATTCAGAATAACTAGTGAGCACTGCCATGACTTTTTGCATTTGTTGTGTTAAGAAGAATATTTGCACTCAATGCTCTTTTCTTCTTATTTACTTTGGTCCTTAGTTCGCTGTTAGCTGGTCTACCTGCCTGCATCGCTCTCGTGCCTGCATGCAGTTCTCTCTTTTTACGGCGCGCAATTGATGTTGGTTGGACTTTGATTCGTCTCCCAGGCCTTATATTTTTTATCGCTGAACAAATTTCGTAAAACCCTTGTTCACTTTCAATACCATTTAGCTTTGCGTTAAGATTCTTTATGTTCTTTAGCATAAATATGGAAGGATGAGACTCTGCGAAGATATGAAGCTTCTTTAAATTTTCCTTTAACGATATTAGTTCTGCGTTAAACTCCTCAGCTATATCACCAGAAGAATTATCTGCCGGTAGCCCTTCTTCAGTTGGAACATTATTACCATCTAGTTTACTTTGCATAGGCTGTTCAAATTCCTGATTATCGCAGGATGGTGATTGTATCATCTCACTGTTCGTTTCCTTCATACCCATAAAAAAGGTGCTATCAAAATTCTTTCCAAGTGCCAAATTGGCAAGCTCAATGCGATCGGAGAATAGCAGATGTGGGGTAGTTAGTAAATTAACACCTGTGTTATAAACTGCACAAAGATGTTTGCAGAATTGTCCTCCTGCTCCAGCTGGACAATCGCATTGTTCAATTGTTATGTCAACTGTATACAAAAGATTGCTATCTTCTGAAGATGCAACTGTAAAAGTTGTGTCTGTCCTTTTTTCCACAGCAAGAAGGCAGGCCTTATGACAAAATTTTTTAAAGAAATTCTGGAGTTTCATATCACGTCCATTCGCAAATGAAATTATCTTTTGCTTATAAAATTCTTCCAATGAAACGCAAACAAAATCGGCCAAAGATATTGCGTTGAAAGCTTTGCACCTCTTTAAAACTTGATCTTTGAATATACGGATGGAAACCTCGATTATGTTGTTAGTGTTATGTCCTCTTGTGGTACATTCTTTGCGAAAACAGTGGCACCACTCAGTTTTTCTAATCCAGTATTGCCTTTTAAAATAATCAAGAAACAAATTATATTTATTAGCTATAGGGTGACTGCATAACGTCTCCTTTTTTAATTCACAGTCAATTTCATTCTGAGCTAAAAGGATGTCGCGGAATAAAAGCATCAATGTTCTTCGGTCATTAGTTTCAATATTATTGGAACTCTTCCACAGCCACCGCCAAACAGCTTGTAGGATGTGGAACGTGCACAGTAGTAGGACAGAATTTGGGAAGACTTTTTTCAGCGCGTTCCTTTCGGCAAAACTATCATCTGTCATAAAGATTGCTGGGAATCCCTTTTCATAAAATCCTTCGTTTCCTATTAAGTCCCGAAACTTCTGAAAGCACAATTCGTATACCTCTTCTGTCTGAAATTCATGGATTATGCAACATAGTGGTACGCCTCCTATTTTGGAAGCTCCAAATATAAACGTAACGGAGGAACCGCCTTGATCGCAAGAACCACTTGAATCTACAAAGGCAACTTCCCCTGCAAAACGGCAGGTATGGGCTCTTTGCATTAAAGGCGTAATTAATACGCAGCAAAAAGGATTTTCGTGGATACTAATTTTTACCCCATTTGTCTCAAAATAATCCCTTTTTTCCAAGAATTTATTTACGACGCTTTTTATCTCTCGTGTGCCGTAATTGTCCTTCCTAAAATTGAATAGCTATATTTTTTCCACTGAAATATACTAATTAAAATAAAAAACTTACCGCCAAGTTTCGTATAAATTATATATGGCACGATCAAGTGGATTTACGTGAGCATTAGCGAGTATTTCACATACTTGTTCTACAGGTGTAGCTGCAACTAGGCATGATCTATGAAAACTTTTTGCTTCACTGGGTGACAATCCGTCTTCAAAGTATTTTTGAAATGTTTCCCTCGTTTCCACGTTCATTCGAAGGTAGCTAAAGGCTTCAGCAACATTAATTCGATGATTGTGAACAAAATGAATCTGAATATAAAAACATGATTGCAAATATGTACTTAAGTCCCTACAAAAATTTTTACCCAAGATGTTTTGACTCAGGTATTTATTTCTCATTGTAATGAACATAAAAACATCTAATCCACAAAATATGTGTTTGTTGGTGTGTTGTTCACTATCGCGCTTTTTGAGAAAAACGAGTAAAAAGCAGGTGAAAGGGCAATATTGATGTTTTCCCGACCGCGACATCAACAACTTTAAAGCGTTCCTAAGCGCGAACTAATTAACGAATATATACTGTATACTAAAAAATTAACTAATTTATAGGAAATTAAGTCACGAAAAACTTATGAATTTAAATGTGCGACTTAATTTATCGCCAAAGTGGGTAAAAAGTTAAAAAGCGCTTGTCAACCCCTTGCCTTGGGCATTTTTTGCGATAATTTATTTCTAAAACACTTTTTTGTAATAATGTTAAACAACATATAACATACAATTTTATATTCTACAACTTCGTTCTTGAAAGTTTTACCATAAGGTCAAAAATTCGCAAGATATTTAATAAAAACCAAAAACCTAAAAACATAAAAAAATATCTGCGTCAAAAAATCTTAGGTATGAATATTTGTATACATTTATAAATAGGGTTATAAACGGGTTTTTACACAACTGCCTCACAAAAAAAAGAATATTCATCTGGTTGGTGACCTACCTTAATTATTGCGTTTAGATTTTTCTTCAACATCGGGTCTCTCAATTTCGTGTATTTGTTAGATTTTTTTACTTTAAAAATCAATTTAGCAGGGCATTTCAAATTTCGAGCACGTGTGCTGTCTTCTTTTCTTGTTTTATTTTTACTACTATGTTGGCAAACGAAATCTTTTCTAAATTGAAGTCTCTGTAAATTCTTATAGGTTTGACGGACAATCCATTGTGTTTTTGTCACAGCAGAAAATTTTTTGATCCATTCGACACACTGGCTGTTGCAGTCATCGTTAGATACTTTGGTTCTAACCAGTACATCGTACTCGCCTTCATTTGTTGCATCATATTTCACAATTTGACATTCATTATCAAACTGCTTTATAATACCTTCCATTGCAATAAGGTGTAAGCAAAACTCATCAAATAAACTCACCAAACAAACAGATTGACGTATGTCTTAAAGGCGCGAATCATTGTATGCACGTTATAGAGCGATATTACAGGCGGTGCGTTAACCACTTAGGGAACGGAGATACAGGTCTCGCTTCCGTATCCTACACGATTAGCGCACTCGGTTGCGCTAGCCATATAGGAGACGGAAAAATGCATCCCGGCCCGTGCTCGGTGCGCTCCATATTGTGTTAGATCTTTTGGTGTTTAATGATCATAGATCAGTCGGAAATTATTTTTTTTGTGACACATAATGGCTGTATTTTGATTGAGGTATGCTAAAAATGCGAAAAAGTGGAGATTTACCAGTCACAGACCGAAATCCACGCCATTTGAGCGGACGCAGTGTGTACGGTATCATTAGTCCGCTCTCTCAGCGTACTGGACCCAGGTCTACGCATGGTGAATTTTGTCATTATTGATATTCGGTTTATATTCTCTCATTATAGATATCAAGTTTTCTATAAATAAGTCCGTGTTTTATATTGTCGTTGTCAAGTCTTCTAATTCTCGTTATATTATTTAAAAGTGGATTTATATTTAATTTATTTTTGTAGAAACTGTCGCTCTGTTGAAGTATAAATTCTTTGATCAATGGCATTTCGGCCATCTCGTGTAGTGTATTTATAGACGTATATCTACCCATGGATGTTACGTGTCTTAGGATGTTATTTTGTATGCGTTGAATTTTGATGTAATTTGTGTTACAGGTAGAACACCACACGGACGGCCGTATGTTATAATTGGTCTTAGAGTGATTTTATAGAGTATGGTCTTGTTTTCAATGGATAAATTACTGTTTCTATTTATTAATGGATACATATGTTTAAGTGCTGTGAAGACTCTGAGCTTCATATTATTGACGTGTTTTGTTAACGTTAGTTTGTTATCAATTGTGATGCCCAGATACTTCACAGCACTTTTTTCCTGTAGCGTAATTCCACCTAAGACAGGTGGCGTTATTACTCGGCTATTTTTGAATTTTTTAGTATTAATTCGGTTTTTGTATTATTAATTTTGATTAGCCACCTGTCCAAGTATTCTGTTATCATTTTAAGATATATTTTTACTTGTGCCACAGCCACTTGGGAATGAAACGAATGTGCATAGACGGTGGTATCGTCTGCGTATAGACCAATTTTTATTTTTACGAAAGTCGGGATGTCCGCAGTAAATAAGTTGTAGAGTTTAGGGGCCAGCACAGTACCCTGCGGCACCCCGGCTTTTATTTTATGAAAGGGTGATTTTGACGTTCCAACGGAGACGGTGAATTTCCTGTCTTTTAAGTACGATGTCAAAATGTTGAGCAGTGGCGTAGGTAATTCAAATTTTTGTAACTTTGACACGAGACCTGCCAGCCAGACCTTGTCAAAGGCTTTCTCGATGTCCAACAGGACCATAACCGTGTTCTGGCCACGATTGTTGGCCTGTTGGACATCATGAACGACCCTTACGGCCTGGTGGACGGTCCCGTGTCGCGGCCTAAAACCAAATTGTTCATTGGGTGTTATTTTCTTTTTGTTGTCCCATTTGTTTAAGTGCTCTGGAATTACTTTTTCAGTTACTTTTGACATCGTACTTAACAAGCTAATAGGTCTATAGCTGGCGGGTGACGTTAGATCTTTCCTAGGCTTAGGAATTGGAATAATCTCGGCTTCTTTTCATTTAGCTGGGAAATATTGGAATTTTAAGATGTTATTAATTACATAGTGAAATTGTACCAGCGCTTTTTGTGGCAAATTCTTCAATAGTATATTGTCTATTGTATCTATTCCGGGGGCCTTGTTGTTGGGTAGATTTTTTATGATAGATTTTAATTTAGTTGGTGATATTAAATATTTTTTAAAGATTAGGGAGTTTATAGGTACAGGCTGTTGTTCCATTATGTTATTACCATTTTTGTTTATGCGCTCCTGGTCTATGTTTAGATTATCTATGTCAGTTGTGTGAACTTTGGCGAAGTGTGCCGCAAGGGCCGTGGCTTTTTCATTATCAGTGATATACTGATTGTTATTTATATTAAGGGCAGGGAAATTTACTTTAGTTTTTTTAAGTTTGCGTGGCAGTATCCATAAACTATTATCTTTAGGCGTTAGTTTGCTTAGAGTTTCGGTCCATACTCTATTATTGTGCACCCTGATCTCATTTGTTATTTCTGTTCTTAATTGATTATAGTTGATTTTATCTATTTGGTCTTTATATAAGTTAAATTTCTTTTTTAACTTATTTTTGTTTTTGATTTTGTCTAGGATTTCTTTAGGTAGATTGTCGTGAGGCGGCATGATTTTTTTAGTAGTGGTAGTTTTATCTCTAGCAGTTATTATATTTTTTGTAAGGATATCTATTTCTTTGTCAATGTCTTCAATATTGTTTATATTATTATTTATTACAGTTAATGATGTCAAAATTTGTCGGAATTTCTCCCAGTCTGTGTGTTTATAGTTAATTAGTTTTTTTTCCCTGGGTTTTGGGGTTTTTAGGGCTAGGTCCAAACAGACCGGGAGGTGTTCGTAATCTAGTTTATGTAGTACATAAGCGTCATTTAATGTCTTAATTTCTGATTTTATTATTAAGTCAATAGTGCTGGGGGTGGTGCCGTTATAGGGGTAGTGGGTTGGTTCAGGGGGGTAGTCGAGACAAAATTTACTGCCCAGTAGGAAGTCGTATAACTTGAAGCCATAGACAATGTCCCGGATACATCCCCAGGCTGTGTTTTTGGCATTAAAGTCTTCCAGCACTATGTATTTGTGAAATGTTGTGAGTTCATTTAGGTCATTGTTAGAGAATTTGTGTTTTGGGGGGTTGTAAACGCTCACGATGTGGACTTCATTGATTTTAATTATTAGGTGTTCAATGGTTGAGTTTGTTTGCTGAATTCTATAGTATGTGCTACGTGGTCCCTAACCAAGACCGCCACTCCACCGCCACGATGGTTCGCGGGCCTGTCTTGTCTATGGACCACGTAGTTTTTTATTTTAAATTTATCAGTTTCTTGTAATTTGGTTTCGTTTATACACATTACGTCAACGTCGTGGGCGTACAAAAAATATATTAGAGAATATATTTTGTTTTTAACATTATTAGCATTCCACGTTACTGTTTTTATTTTTTTATTAAGTAATGAAGCCATTATATGTCATACCTTTCTATTCCGTACATTGTGAATTCTAAAAACATTTCGAATTTTTCCTGTTTTGTTTTTGCTGTATCCAGTATGGCAGCCAAGTCACGAAGAGCCTGCAACATAGGCCCGAGGTTAATTTGTTCTTTGAGCGCAGCTATCTCTGAAAATAAACCAGTATTACCGTTGGAACTGTTTTGAGTCGAATACTTAACTTTATTTGACGCGGTAGGTGCCGGAGGTCCTTGTTGCATTGCGGTGGTGGGTGCTGGTGCTCTACTGGTCCTCTACTGGTCCAGAAATTTTTCTTTGGTGGTGGAGCCGGGATGTACATTTTCTTTTTGTTGATTTCCTCTTTGTCTTGAAGCTGCGTGATTCTGAATAAATATACCGGACACTCCTGGCTGTTTGCGGGATGGTCAACTCCGCAGTTTGCACAAACAGCCGGGGTATCGCGTGTTTTCTCGCATGTGTGTGTCGGGTGCTCTTTAGCGCACTTTAGGCAATTATACGGATTAAAGCAATTTGTCATTGCGTGTCCCCATGCTTGACATCTGTGGCATTGTTGAATTCTCCTGTTGTTTTTTCTAGTTTCCCAGTATATTCGGGTGTGTTCGAGATATCTAACAGTTTCATTTAAATATGAAAGTCTTACATCTGGAGATGTTATAACCATATATAGTTTTCTGTATGTCTTTTTGAGTTTATAAATGTTCTTAATTATTATTTCGTGTTCAGTGAAGAGTGCTTTTTGGATTTCATCTAATGTCATTTCTGCATCTAGGCCTCTCATTATGAATGCATGGGTTTTATTTTCATCTTTAGTATAAGTATGGAAATGCGTGTTGCTTTCTTTCAAGTTGTATATATATTCATTACATTCTTTGTCTTTTTTAATGTTTAGAATGATGTTATTTTTCGTATGTTTTATTGTAAAATCTGTGACTTGTTGTTTTAGATTTTTTAGTCTTGATGCGTTTCATTAACTTTCCCAGTAAGCACAATTGGCGGTGTATCTCTTTTGTTAGTGTTTTTAAGTGTAGTTTTTTGCTTTATGGTATTTTTCGATTGTTCATCAATTTTGGAGGGCCCTGGCTGCGGTGCAGGGTCGTTATTGTCTTTTATAACTTTGTCTTTGTTTTGACTTAGTATTTCAAATTTATTAGATGTAACAGTTTCAGATTCTGCTACTTTTCTTTTGATTATTGTGGATATCGGCACGAAATTTTTTGTTTTCGTAAATTTGAATTTTTTAGGTATTTGTATATTTGTTTCTTCATCTTTTGGGACTTCATTTGCCTTTTGGAGAGAATTATTTGCTGGGAAATTGCTAGGTGAGAAGGAAGGTAAAGCAATGGTGGCTGTGGACATTGTAATGGTTGAACATATAGGATTGATTGCAGTAGTGACGATAGAGGTAGTGGGTGTGGTTGCTATTGTCGCATGTGTGCTTGGCGTCCAATTAGGGTCGAGTATAAGGTTTTGTAATACTTTTGGTTTATTGCTTGATATTACCTTATTTGGATGGTTAGCCTGTATAACCATCCAAATAAGCTTTCACTATTTCCTTCTTCCATCTTCTGGTATCCTAATACAAAATCTGAGTTATTTTCATCTTCTGACATGTTTACTGGTGGTGGAACCCAATTGGGTACCAGGCCTGCAGCTTCCTCAATGTGGGGCTCTTTGGGGCTTGTCTCAGGTGCAGGTTTTCCTGTCTCTGATGTAGGTTTTGGTGTTGCGGACGTATTTACTGATGTTGGGTTTGGTGTCTTTATTACTGACTGAGATTTTGGCGGGTCTGTCGTTGGTGTACAGGGTGTCTTCCTCACCAGCTCCAATTTCACTGCCCTTTCATACAACTTTGAGTCGCTGAATTTTTCTATATTCACTGCTGAAGATGTTCTGGCAGATGTTCTGGCACGTGGGAGATTTTTTGGTTTGGGTTTAAGTGTCTTTTTCACAGCACCGGGGGCCGGCTTGTCATCGTGCTTGGTAGGACCTATTTTCACGAAATAACGGCACTAAAAAGCGTCCGCTAACTTCACAAATACATAACACGCATCTACGGATTACATAGTGTCTATTTCACTAACTATCACTAATTAAATGTTCTTTTTTCCACTTTTCTGAACGTTTTTAATATTCTCACGATAAGCTTTACAAGTCCAGTCCACCGCTCTGCTAAGCGACCGCCCTACCATCTGAGCTATCTAGCTTGACATCAAATTATAACGCTCGGGGAACAAAAAGGGATTATTATTATGACGTAACTAACTAACTAACATTTCGAATCGCGGTACGTTAGCGTGCCTCTAGTCACAGCTATATTAAATACATAAAATAACTTATGTACCAGTGTTGCCAATTTTCCAGTAATTACTGGCATTTGCCAGGAATAAAGCTCCTTGCCAGTAATTTTGCCAGGAGAGTTCAAATGCCAGGAATTTGACAGGAATTGGTTAATTTACTATGTTATTTAAAATACAAGTCATCTAAGATGGTCAAGCCATCATGGCCCATGATGCAAGGAATGTGTTCCTTGAATCATGATCATGGCCAGACTAAGTCTGTGGCGAATCTCTACGTTTGCCGGGTGGGGCGGGACTGCCGATTGGTCGAACAACAGAGTCGTGTTGTCAGATGTAAAAAGTGAAATTATCGAACAGTGTTGAAACAATCATCAAATTTTTATAAAATTACAATTTTAATTTAATTATAAAATATGTTAAAAAACAGTAAAACAAGTATGCAATATAAATCATTTTGTGTGAATAAAAAAATTAAAAGCCATTTTGCTAGAAACCTAAAAATTGTAAAAATTAAAAATTCTTTTAATCATTCATAAGAATACACGTCGCGAGGAATTGCCAATAATAATGATATTTTTGCCAGGAATTTTATTAAGAACTATTGGCAACGCTGCTCTGTACACTAACGGCAAGAACGGTGCTGCAATAAAATTTGAAAAACGCCGGCGGCGTATCCATACACTTTTTAAAACCACGCCGGCGGCGCAGTACACTTTGCCAAAAATATAATCTAATTTTGTAATTTTAAGGTTGTCCGGGCATGAGTTTTAGTGTTTCGATCGTGGTAGAACTGTGTCCTATCCTACAGCATTAGATTTAAAATCCGTTGCCAACTACTTGCAACCAAAATTCATATAGGTAGGTATAAATTCCATTTTTAGGCGATTTTTTTTATTATTTTGCAACGTAATTGCATTGTCAGTTCATGAGGCGTTGTTATAGTGTATGTGAATGAATAAAATCTAAAACATCGCTGTCTCCTTCACCCTTACGCTTGCTACATACGTTCTCACTCACACCTATGTAGCACCGTTCCTATCTGACGTCAGCGACGTTGCCATGAATCTCCAGTTTAAGCGTCAAATTTCGTGAATTCACCGATTTAATCCAATAGAACTTTTTTCCTACCGACATGATCATTATGAAACTTCGCGTTTCAAGTTTTGAAAATACGTTCCACGATATAGTCATTTTTTATTGCAATCCCATCATTACCAATAATTATTTCGGAGAAAGAGTAACAATCCACGTGGTGCCATAAGAACCCTTGTATTTTTACTTAACTTTGAAATGTATTTACTCGGCTCCCAACGACAAGAATTTTTATTTAATTAAACAGAATGATGTGAAGCATCATAAAGAATTTATTTGTAAATTTTTATCAAATTCTGATCATTCGAGACTCACTCCAGGACAACCTTAAGGTTAGGAAAACTTAATTTTACCAAACGCTGTGGCTCCCGTCCCGAGGCGGGACTTAAGTTCAGTCCCGATTGACGTCATAATTTTAAGATTTGTTATGTTACAATAAAACTAAAACAAACCAACCAACCAAACCCAACCCTACCCAACACAACCCAACACTTTTTAATAAAGAAACAACAAATTTATAAAATTAAAAAAATAAAAAAAGTTTGACAACTTCTAGTAGAATCGAACCCGGTACCTCTCGCATGCCAAGCGACCGCCCTACCATCTAAGCCATCCAGCTTGACACCAATAGACCTATCCCATAAAACAGACTTTTGGATAGCGCGTGCCTGAAGAAGAGTGGTATCTCTTTCTCTTTTATATAATTAAAAAAAGACGACGTGCCTTTTCACGCACGCGCTATCCAAAAGTCCATTTTATGGGATAGGTCTATAATATAAATCAAATTAAATTGAAGTTTTTATACACAGAGTAGTGCTTTTATACTTTTGAGTTTACTGGTTTACCCAGGACAGGTTCTGGTTTTTGCTAACGTGTCCTGGTTTTAATTGTGTAGGTACTGGTTTTGTCCTGGTTTTGCAGATTTGGTCCTGGTTTATACTATTTTTTTATTATTGACGTTTTTTAATCCAGCTTAAAGTATACATAATATACAAATACAAATACCTACAAATACATATACCTACATGTAGGCTACATACAGTTACATTAAGAAGTGTAAAAAAGTAAGAAAAAACCTCGTTTTAAAAAAAATATATAAAAAATTATGACTTTTTCCATCTTTTTAAAATTTGATCTATTATTTTTTTTAAAAGTGTTTTTTTTTAATTATGAGTTTTTTCTACTTTTTTAGGTTTTCTTCTAATTTTTTTATTAAATGTGGTCGGGACTCAGGTTCAAAATTAATTTAAAAATCTGAATTTTTGGGAGTACCTTCGGGATAATTTTTTTATTTTTGACTTAATTAGCACATCTTTTTTTCAAATAATAAATATTAAATAAAATAAATTTTGTTTATTACCTTTATTTCTATTTTTTGGAAGGGCGAGAAGGGGCATGTTGTGCCCTGTTTTTCTTTTTAGAAAGTTAGAGTATAAGAAAACCTAAACAATTTTTAGAGAAATGTGCAATGTATAAATGTTTAATACTACTATAACATGTGAATTATTAAAACTGAAAAAGTTATAATGTCCAATTATAATGATTTCCCAATGTAAATCAAATTCAATAGAAACTGTATACTTTTATTGACAAAAGATTATGTAGGTAGACTTAGCTGGATTAGAAAAGCTACCACAATTTTTTAGAAGAAAATGCAAAGTAAAAATATTAGATACTCCTTTACTGTGGGATTAATTTAAATTTTTAAAGTTATAAGGTTATAATGATTGTTTGATGTAGATAAAGTTCACTTGTATCCCAGTAAGCACCAAACACTCGGCAAACAGTCGGCCTTCGCTCGGCATAGGCGGTTGACCGGCGGTTCGGCTTGCCTCCAGTCGTTCCGCTTATGGCCCGCGTTATGTTAGCCCGGTACCGTTTGGCCATGTTTTAACCAAAGTCGGAGAATACGGCATGTCGCTGCAAAATCGTTCGGCTTGCCCTAGCCCCCTGGCGAAAATAAATCGTGCATGAAAAGTGTGCAATAAGTGTGTATTTGGAGTGCAAGTCTTTATAACAATGTGCATACACGCTACTTTGTGGTAATTTCACACTTTTTGAAATAATTCAGTTTTTTTCACTCTTTATGTACATTGACATCACGCTTTTTCTTTGTCATATGTCACGCTTATATTAAATTATATATTAGCACATTGTTTGCACAGTGTTAGTACATTGTTTAAAGACATTTTGCAAAGCTTCAGTTCATCTTACGCATGTCACATTTTATACACACTGTTAGCACGCTTTAATATTTCTCATTTATGACGCTTATATTACACCTTTTTATAGCACATTGTTTGTACAGTTTTAGCGATCACTCAACAGTTTAAGTACATTTTAGATATATCTCGCTTGAGTTGGGGTACAACATTTATTTAAAAGGTAAGGTAGATTCCATCTTATGTATCGCTTCTCGGCCTATTGCTAAGATCAAAGCAATCCCCTTCGTGGAGTTGACAGTGCAGGTATTTTTCTTAATAAAATGCAGTATGTAAGACCTACATTGTGGGTATTTTTTTTTTAATATTTATTTGATTAATATTATTATAAGGACATTTATATTTCAATTATGTGTAAATTTAAAAGACTTTATAGGTCACCAAAAAGAATCTGTTTTTGTAATAGGCACACAGGTGGCAAGAAACAGTGTGCAAACAATGTGAAAAATCAAAAGGAGTTCCCTTTAGAACATTGTCCAGTGATTATTCACACTTTTAAATTTTTGGTTTCGCACATTGTTTCATGTTCCATTTCCCACCCTACGCACATCATTTTTTTAAAAGATTGCATATTGGCACATTGTTCTCAAATAATTTTGCACACTTTTTGCACATTTCATTTTGCCAGGGCCGGCCCGCTTACGGCCGGAATACAGCCTGCCGAGGCATAAGCAATACATCTCACGGCTGCTTACGCAAGCGAGCTAACTATGAATAGTGATGGGTTGCAATATTTAGTTAAAAGTGTGCGTCTGTAATGGCATAGCTGAACATTAATTGTTTGAAGTCCCCATCTCCATCCTCATCTGCTCAGTAACGAATAATGGCTAGCTATAGTCGAGTGTGTTAAACCTACAGGTATACCTATCCAGGACGTCTGAAGGCTTTTTTTGAATTGCCACGCTGTTGTGGCCGGCACTCGGCCAACTATACACAGCCGACACTCGGCCGAGTAAACATAGCCGACATTCGGCCAGGCGGACATGCCCGGTCTACACGCCGGAACAAATACATGTGTCGGGCCGCACGCGGCCGATTTGGCAAAACGTATTCGGGCCGTATGCTTGTGCTTACTGGGATTCATGATACAACCAATTGTATCATGCTTGTATTCACAGCGTGGTACAGTATAGTTATATTATTGAATTTCCAAAAACAGGTGTAAAAACAATTCACAGTATTTTTAATAAAGTAATGAATTTATATTTGAGATCTCCTATACTTTGTTTTCAACAGCCAGTTGTTCAATTACAGTTTTTAGTTGATTTGAGCTATTTTGTAATACTTCACCATAAATTTTATACCTTCTGTAAAACTTAAATATAGTTCAAAATTTTTAAAAATGTTAGTTTATATATATTATTATGTAATTAAAATACTATTAAAATGGCTTTATTTTAAAGATTATATTAATTATCTATTTAATTCAAAAACAACGAATAAAATTTGCATTTATAAAATAATTTTAAATAATTGTTTTTTTATTATTTTGATAAATATATAATTTATAATATTTATTTTGCCTCTGCTAATTGTTAAAAATTGTGGTAGATTTTCTAATCCAGCTTAAAGTATACATAATATAGAAATACAAATACATAATATACAAATACCAATACCTACATACAGTTCTTTTTTAAATTATAAAGGTTTGATTGATATATTGATAAAACCACACTAACTCCAAAATACTTTATTTTGGTAAACATAAGTTTGATGATATTACATATTAAACTACCTCTGCTCGGCTTTTTTTATAAATAAAAAACAGATATGTAGACCAAATGCACTATACACTTGGATTATTAAATGCAGTATTTATTTTCCTAATTTCATAAACCAACCATGGTAATTGTGATACCATAAAGATTTCTTCATTTTTAACTCTTAAACATAAGCGGTAAACGCACAGCAAACGGAAAAATATAGAACTGTATAGGATGACTCCCCGTTTGAATACTAAATCTTAAAGATTTATCAGAAGTGTATTGAATCGTGCTTTGTTTTATTTTTTTTGCCTCTATACCTATGCACGACTATAGTTAAAGTCAAAATAAATGGTGTCTTACAAGATACATTATTTTCATTTTCTATATTCAACAGAGAGGTAGAAACTCGACCCTGTCGAATGGTGCAGTCATTTATGTCTCTAGAAATTATTTAAAAAGGGTTCAGTAAAATGGTGCAGCAACTTCGGATTCCTTTTCTCTTCAGAGACATAGAAACTCAAGCTTTTCGAATTTTACTGGCAATGATTTTCGTTAATGTCCCCGAGAATTATACAAAAACAGCGCAATTCAATATCGCAACGGTTTCGACTTTTCTTTACTCTACAAAGTTATAGAAACGTAGTCTCTCTTATACTGTTCTAGTCAATATTTCTAAGAGTATAAAAAGAGGGTGTAGGTAATTCAATACTGCAAGAAGTTTTGACCTTTTTATGGATGCAAGTAGTTTGAATATTCTCATTTCTGCATATGATTTTGTTGAAAATAGTTCCTTTCTTTGGATCCTTTGTCTGATTTTTATTTACCGTAACAACTCAGGTATGTAAAGCACAGATGATATTATGTAAAGTATATTTATGTATTATATAAAGTACCTATGTATATTTGTATTAAAAATTTCAGAGGTTATGTTGAAAAAATTATCGATATGCTATTAAGCCAGGTCTACAATTGTCGCAGGTCGCAGATGATCTGCGGCAGATCGCAGAACATAAGCCTGCGCAAAGCACCCAGCGACGTGGCGATGGAGCAAGGTTGTTATGTCAGCTGTCTACAGTTGAGGAGCATCCGTGCAAAACCGGCTAAGAGGCCTATTCCCTTTCGCTAAACATGCATGTTCATGAACTACATATGTTTCGTAACAAATGAGCCTATTCCCTTTCAAATATTTCGTCTATAGACGCATGCGCTCGAAGAATTTCTTAAACATCCATGTTTATAAACATCATCGGTGTTAAAATGGCTATTCCGTTTCCAAAATTCGATGATTGGTGAACATGCATGATGTTTGAAAACGTATGTTTACGAACGCTTGCCTAAAAGGTGCTGTTAGCCAATACCTATTTGAGGTTTTTAATCTTGCATTAATCATAAATTGCGGCGATGTTTGGTACAGTATACAGCACAGTATCATTATCAAGCATAGTAATTATAGTCGTTTTTTCGCGTAAATACTATGAAATACTACGGTTAAATAAGTCATGATGTCACAGTTAATTCATATAACCATGGTTAGGTTTCTAACATTTGACATTTGTTTACTTGTTCATAACCTATAATTTTTGAAATGTGTTTTTACCTATTTATATTTAATTTCTATGCTTTTACAGGTGTAAATAAATTTCTTTGCCTCTTCTTTTACCTTGTATATTCTTTTTCTATGAACCCTAGTTCTTATACCTACCTTTTCTATACCTCTTTTTATATATAAACAGTTCTTCACTGTTGTTTACCATAACTAAAATCCAACAGTGTTTAACGTTTATACGAAAATTATTATTGTGAAACTTAAAATTTAGAATGGAACCCCAAAGAAAAAGACGAAGGTTGGTGGTATGTTTTGGAGAAGATATGTTTAGCACACAACATTATTCCTACATAAACATATTAAATATATATATTAAAAAGAGAAAGACTATTAACCACGTTGAATAACTAGCTCAGCGATATAGTTTTATGGTCTGGTATTTGTGACGTCATAGTTAGGATTTTTGAACGCACTCTAAACGCAAAAATGCCTTAACTATTAACCAAGGTTAAGTTTAATGACCATAGTATTTCATGGTACGCGAAAAAACGACTTATGGATTAATTACTTTTTCATAATTAATACCTATTTAATTATAATTATAAATGATAAATTAATATTTATAAATGAGAATAGGACAAATCATATAAGATTTCACACCAAACAAATAAAAATATATTTTTTGGTAATTTTAAAAATATGTTTATGATTTGTTCTTTAATTATTAAAATGTATTTCCTAATTATAATACCAGAATACAAATTTTGCTTTACTGATTTTTTTAATATAATTATATTAGTTTTATTATAATAATAATAATAAATAATTATTTAGAAAAAAACAGAAAATTAAAAAAATCTGAGTGTGAAGAGAGAATTTGGGTGGAGGAAGGTCAAGACTTATATAAATAAATAAATAAATACTTTATTGCCCAACAGTTTAAAACCAGTTACAGGACAAATATACTATATGTTACAAGAGTGTCTAAAAACGACCTCTTAAACTATAAATATATTAGGGTCCACCCAAAATATCGTAGAATATGTTCGAACAAATATCCTGTTAAAAGCGGAGCCCATAATTTCAATTTTAAGAGGTCCTTCATCGAATCTGAAGTTTTGCCGCTTAAATAGCACAGAAAACTGACTTTTTTACCTTATTTATTCTTGCAACCTAGAAAGAAATTTTTTGTTCATAAAATCCATGACCAAATCTTACAAAGCATTAAATTTGGATGAAAAAATCTTATTAACCCGAATTTCTATTTTCATTATTTGATTTTTTACAGAGCTTTAAATTTAAAATTTTACGTTTTTTTGCCTTTTTTAGCTAAACTATTGAAGTTAGACGAAAAAGTCAAATGGCAATGTTTTAGCTTGTCTGATGGACCACAAAAAAGTTCAAGCAATTTTTGTATTGGAGATTTTTTTGGAGATTTATTTACCTGGACTTTCTGCCAATTTTTCAATTTTCAATTTTTAAAATTGAACTATGTGAGTTATTTGTAGGCAAGCTAAATTTACTCCACACATTTATAACCTTACTCAAAACAATTTTTGCACTATTACGGATAATAAAGTTTTCGGTGCGATGTTTATAATACAACAAATACAAAACATCACGATTTGAAGGTAACTTTAAATTGCTTAAGGTTTTTATTTCAAAATCTACCAAGTTCATAAACTTTCGTTGACTTGTTTTATTCGACATTGTTTAACAATGAACAAGTTTTATGATAGTTGTCGTATTAATTACGTATAAAAAACTAACCTCAATTAAGTACATAGAGCTCACTAATTGATTTTATCGAGCGGTAAATTTACAGATATCAATAGAAAACAATAATACTGCAACGGAGCTGTTAGTAAATTCTTTGGGAAATTTGAATTTAAATATCAACAAAGTAAACCGTGTTTTACAATATGTGTACCTATCAAGCTCGAAATAAATGAAATAATGTACTGAATATAAATATTATAATGAATATTAATGTAATAACCCAGATAACAATTATGACATCATTTAAGACATGAACGTGAAATCATTTAAGACATGAACGTGAAATCATTGCTGATTCATTCAGTGATGTAACTAAGGCTCGCATATGTGTTCCCCTTTTGATGAGCAACATGATATCCTTAATGAGTCACACGATGAATTCGTTGTGACACCAACGTAAAAACATTGCTGATTCATTCAGTAATGTCACTGTGGCATGCATAAGTGTTGCACTTTTGATGAGCAACGTGAGATCCTTAATGAGTCACACGATGAATTCATTATGAAATCAAAGGGATGTCATTAATGATTTTACTTAATTGTAGATTTTGCAAAATTAAAAATTGTTAAAAATATTTTTTTGAAAGTCTAATATGAAGAGCTTGTAAGGAGAAACCAAAAAGCAAAATAAAGTTTTTTCATGTGAGTTGTTGTTACTAAGATATTTGTTATTAAAAATAAAATCAATTCAGGTCTTAACTTGAGTGGTCCTATTATTTTTTAGAAATTGACTGCTATCTCATTTTGTAATTATGACTCAATGTTGTTGCTTTTAACTGACATGCCTACAATGTCTACAATAATTTGTTAAAATTTGAAAACTAATATCTTTAATTTTCAATATCAAATATCTTAAGATACTAATTAGTATCAAAAACTCATATGAAAAAACTTCATTTGACTTTTTGATTTCTCTTTACCATCTCTTTATTTTAGCGCTTCAAAAAAAATATTTAAAAATTTTGAAAATTTTTAAAATCAGTATTTTTGCTCATCTTGTACAACAAAATGGATGTTTCTCAACCCGAATTGAATTTATACAAGCAAAAGAAATTATGAAAAATTACTTATCCTGTATATATACCTAGCACATGCCAAGTATAATTCATAAATTAATTATAAAAATATATTTATATATATATTTACATTACGATAATTTTTAAGCGTTGGTAAGATAAATCCATTCCCAAAACTTGGCCACACTTATGGTATATACCATGGCAACACTGTTATGCACTTGCATAGTTCAGAGAAAAACCTTAAGGTTATAAATTTAAATTATGGCACTATGACATCAAATGCATTTCTGTGAAATCACCTGGACCTCATTAGCTAAATCATTGCTGAGCTCATCAAAAACTCAGGATGAGCTCAGCAATGATTCAGCTAATGAGCTCCAGGTGAGGTCCAGGTGATTTCACAGAAATGCATTTGATGTCCGAGTGAGCTCACTGTGAGCTCACGCGATGATTATCACTGAGTGATTTTTAATGAGTCATAAATTTTATATATACAGGGTGTCCCAGAACTCGCGCCACATAGAAAACCGGAACGTGCCGAAAGTAACGTGAAACACATATTTGAAAATTAAAATTGTCTAACGCAAAGGATAAGCGAGATAAGAGTAAAAAACGATAGCCAATCCCAATAGATGGCCATAGGGAATTCTTTAAATTGCTAGGATACTTAGGTTGCATTGTTGATAATAAAAAATATGTAAAATATTTGGTCCACTGGAATCCAATTCATTGTGACACTGCTGTCAAACTCCTGTCATTAATATTATATTAGGTTATAAATTAAGTTATTATAAATAATGTTTTCCTTAGATGATTATACTGAAATGATAATTATTTATTTATTTAGTGTGGGCGCAACGCCAGGGAGACAACGCGAGTTTTTTCCCAGCCCTTTCCTAATCGTTATTTTAAAACATTGGCGTTCTGAAGTATAAGTCATAGATTAATAACCTCATTTTTGAAAGCTTTTGACAACTTAGTAAATACAGTTGGCCAAAAGATTTTTAAATGTTTTTAATACAACAATGTTCTATCGTCTCCTAGCAATTTTTAAAGCTCTTACGTTTAACCTAGGCGAGAGCTCTCGGTATTGGCTGCCGCTTTTTTGCTCTTATTCGATTACACTATTACCTAGAAATTTTTTATTTTTAAATTTGGCATCTCCATTGCTATCGGCACGCCCCCTTTTTCTCTGTGGCGCGAGTTCTGGGACACCCTGTATATTAATTACAGATTCAGAATTTTTTGTACGATAATAGTTAGTAAGATATTATTTTTAGTATTTTAAGCGATAATTCACTGTAAACAATGGAATAAGACATGAAATTCTTATAAAATTTTGTATCTATTGTCAATTGTTTATCTGATTTACGTAAAAAACCATCGAAATAAGCTTAAATAAGTCTGTAAATTTTTTACATTAATTTTTCACTAACAAAAAGTTAATAATACAAAAATGATGACTTTATACGCCTGTAACTTTTAGAATATTGACGATACAAAAAATTTGCCTAAAACTTTTTTGTGGTCCATCAGACAAGCTAAAAAATTGCCATTTGACTTTTTCGTCCAACTTCAATAGTTTAGCTGAAAAAGGCAAAAAACGTAAAATTTTAAATTTAAAGCTCTGTAAAAAATCAAATAATGAAAATAGAAATTCGGCTTAATAAGATTTGTTTGTCTAAATCTAATGCTTTGTAAGAATTAGTCATGGATATCATGAAAAAAAATTCTTCCTACGTTGCAAGAATAAATAAGGTAAAAAAGTCAGTTTCCTGTGTTATTTAAGCGGCAAAACTTCAGATTCGATGAAGGACCTCTTAAAATTGAAATTATGAGCTCCGCTTTTAACAAAATATTTGTTCGGACATATTTTACGATATTTTGGGTGGAGAGCAAGAAAAAAAATTTCAAGTTTTTTGGCACACCCTAATACAAGGTATACAAGGTATCCCTAAACTTAGTGGCATAAATTTTGGAGCAGATTAAGTCAAAATAAGACGAAAATCTAAATAAATATTTTTCCTTATTACATATGCTTAAAAGATACAGGGTGATAAAGTGTTACTTATCATATCAGTTTTTTTAATATAACTTCTACTATGGTAGACTTGGAAAGGTGACATTTTGCGAACAGTCACTTTCTACCAAAACACATATTTACTAGACTGGTTCAAAAAAATCGAATATTTTTTTTTCTTTAAAGCCCGCATTGAAATATCTTCCTAGTAGTGAAAAAAGAAGCCTGTGAAAATTGTAGCTCTTAATATTAATATTTAGAGGTCGCTCACCGTGAATTTCTATTTTACGTTTAAATAACACAGGAATTCTTTTTTCTTAACTTTGAAACTCGTATTTGAGTGAACATATTGAAATAAGCGACACATATTTTTAAAGAAAATTGAACGCTCTACAAAAAATGTCTCTTATATTTTTTTTATAAATTCACTTCTTTTATAGTTATTCAAGGTTGAAATTAGACATATAATAAATTTAACGTTTTTTTTTCAATTGGTGGCATAATAATAAACCTTATCACTTATTATTGTACAGGATGGTCCAGTTTGTAATACATTAATTTTAATAGGTGATAAAGCATTAAAAATAAGGTAGACTTTCACAAAAAAACATTTCTTAAAAATGTTTCCTAAGAGAAATACAGGCCGTCAAAGTTTGCAAAAAAAATAGTTTTCTCTTCATAACTTTTAAACCACAAAATTAATTTGGCACACAATGTAATATAGTCAGTGCCTTAATAATGATGTAGATAATTATTATAAAAAACATCAGTGCCGCAGTTACTTGGGGGGCTGCTCCCCTTTTCACCTCAGTCTTTGACGCCACTGGAAATTTTAATATAATAAATAAATGTTTAGGTCAAGTTTTAAGTTAAGGGAAAAAATTTGCTCTTGTAAAATTTTGATTTGGGGCTTCGTTTCTAAAATATTTGCTCAAAAATGTTTCCTCGCAAAATTACATTTTTAGATTGTCTGTTCAATTTAGAGATAAAAAACTACTGTGCTAAAATTTTAATTTAAAAAAACTGGGGCAAAAGTCTTCTTGGATAAATAAATTAATTATTTAAAAAAAGAAGCACTAAATCAAAATTTTACATAAGTAGTTTTTTTCTTTAAATTAAACAGATAATCTAAAAATGTGTTTATTATTAAAAAAAATTCGCCTAAGGTGAAAAGAGGAGCAGCCCCCCAAGTAACTGCGCTACTGATGTTTTCTTTAAATAGTTATCCACATCATTACTAAGACATTGACTATATTGTGTACAAAATTTGATAAAAATTGATTAAGTGGTTTAGACGTTATGATGGGGAAACGAGTTTTTTTTGTAAACTTTGACGGAAAGCGTCTCTGCGAGGAAACATTTTTAAGCAAATATTTCAGAAACAAAGACCCAAATCAAAATTTTACAAGAATAAATTTTTTCTCTAAATTAAAAACTTGACCTACAAATTTATTTAAATTTTTAAAATTTTTAGTGGCGTCAAAGACTGAGGTGAAAAGGGGAGAAGTACCCCCACATTATTATTAAGGCACTGACTATATTACATTGGGTGCCAAATCTGATGAAAATTAATGTTGTGGTTTAAAAGTTATAAAGAGAAAACTAGTTTTTTTGTAATCTTTGACGGCCTGTATTTTTCTTAGGAAACATTTTTGAGAAATGTTAATTAATGAAAGTCTACCTTCTACCTTCTGTATCACAAACTGGACCGCCCTGTATAATCTTTTTTAAAAATTTTATATAAATTATGTTTCTTAAAAAAAAATTATCGCTCATTCCAATATGTCCACTCAAAAAAAAGTTATAAAATTAAAAGTAAAAAAAATTCCTGTGTTATTTAAACGTTACATTTATTATATGTCTAATTTCAACCTTGAATAACTATTAAAGGAGTGAATTTACGAAAAAATTATAGGATACATTTTTTGTAGAACGTTCAATTTTCTTCGAAAATATATAGAGTTCAT